TGAAAGGTAAATTTATACGAAATTAACGCGCGTTCTCTTCCCCCCCCCCTCACCCTCTCTCTCTCTCTCTCTCTCTCTCTCCTCTCTCTCTTGTCTGCAGAGAGTACACCACTTTAGAGATTATAAATTGCACGATACGCACTATCCAATACACGTGTGCGGACGAGAGCGCGCGAGCGTATGTATAATTGAAGTAAACACATTATCGCTAAAGCTTTTAATCTAGCATGCAACTTGTTAGCTCAAGTCGACCGAGGCTCCGATAAATACCCACCGCGGTAAATTTTAATGACCGCGTTAAAATATTATGGGCTTTTATGCATTAGGACGACAAACACAGACCGTTCCATCCCACTCAGGAACGGCCGCGGCGGCGTGAGCGCGTAGTTTGCCGACATTACATTACAAATTGTGCGTACCGGACCCGGGCCATCCGGACGGTCAATGTTTGCCGATCCGAAATTCAATATTCCGTTCACGGCTCGAGAAAGTAATTTGTCATCGGCAAGCGGCGTCAGGTCCGCCGCTGTAGCTTCACCGACGTCGCTCAGAAAACGGTAGCGAGTCCCCCGTTTTTCGTGAAACGATCGCGGACTAATGAGAGCCCATAATCGTCAACCCATTCTCTTTTCCACGCTATTCTGTTCCTCATCGTTCCATCGTCTGTTTCGTTAAGTGCTCCGCGGTTGATCTTCGTTTCACAATCAATGCAAAGAAGGGAGTGCGTCCTCGATCGTGTGATTTTAATAGCTAGACGTAACTCTCGCTTTAATTTGAGTGTATAATTCTTCGAAATCAACATTTAACCATTAAGATGATTGCAACAGTGGATACTAATTGAGAGTATTAATTATAACGTTGCGTAATCGATTCTAGATTCGTCGAAGGAATCATCGTTAACCTTTACAGGACGATAAAGCCATTATAGTTGCAACAGTCTCATATATTTGAAGGAAGAGATACAATGCGAAATGAATTATAACAAAGTTTCAAGGAAAAGATGTGTAAGCAAAGATGTTAACAAAAAAAAAATAGATTCCCGTCTCTCTCTAAAGATTAAGATAGAAAATTCAGGATATCAATAGTAGAAGGGTAAGATTCGACTGACCTCGATCCTTTCTTCCTTGAGGTCGACCTGGAGAGCTAGCTGTTCTCGCAGGAGCACATCGGGATAATGAGTCTTGTCGAAGGTGGCCTCCAATTGTTCCAATTGCTCCTCCGTGAAGATCGTTCGATGGCGACGTTTTCTTTTCGCCATTGGACCCATTCCCGGATTGTTGGGATTTATCTGGTAGGGATGACCGGCGTGATAAAAGGCTGGCTGTCCGTGAAGGGAAACGCCGGCGGCGGCCATCGCCGCCACGTATCCTCCGGGATACAGTCCCGGATATGCCGCGGCTGAAATCCGAAAACGACGGAAGAATATGATAAAACTTGCGCGAGTTTATTTCGTAACTATTATAACTCGCTATCCTAAATTCTCGGATAGATCCTACACGGCGCGGAATGACAATAAAGATTATCCGCGCGGCCGCCATGCCATTTGAACTTTGCGCGGCATTAAAGATTCAAGGGTCCATTCTCGCGTTGGCGATTATAACATTTAGGGGAGCCCTGAAATCGATTGTGCGACGAGCGATAATTGTAACAATCGCGGTAATTCGGGCACTAAATCGACGCGATTGACAAAAGGATTACCACGATCCTTCGCGGTGACGAATCTCTGAAATATCGGCAGCTCCAACGATTCTCTCTCTCTCTCTCTCGAGTGGAGAATCAATGGTGGCGATTTGCTGTGAGGAACGTTTTGCTGTGAGGCGACGCGCGATGCTACAAATTCGCAGACCCCGCATTCACGCTGTTCACGGGATAAAGAGGTCGTTCGGCACCCCCCCCGTCCCGGGGGACGTTTTACTTTAAAATCTCGAAGAAAGCTGCTTAAACGCGACGTTGCGTATGAAAATGCGGGGACGGTAAAAATTTCTGCTTTTACCCAGCACCGCGGGCTTCTCTCCCTCACACCCATTCTCTCGCGTTCGCATGCTTCCTTTTCACGTTTCTCCGTCTTCTAGCGGGATTGCGGAAGGAGCTAGATCGTTCATGCATGATCGAAACGGATTGCGGATTTCATCTCGCGTATCCCCAATGCGCAGAGAGCGCAAGTTACCTTGAGGGAAAAATACCTAAAGCCCCCGGCGGGCATGAAAGAAATTTTGGCGCGTTTCGCACCGGCTCTCTTAGGATTTCGCGCGAGGTCTTACATATTTGTATTGTAAAGTGTTAAACGTCTCTATGTTGAACGAAATACGTTTACCGATCTGCAGAAAATTGACGAAATGCAAACGAATTAGATTTCTTTGCGTTGTGGAGAGAAGCGAGTTACGCGAGATGAAAAATCTAGTCCGTAGAAAATATTGAGATTGTAAAGTCGATGGAAGGAAAAATGCTGGGTGAAGTTCCATGACCAAATTTGTAATTATTTATTCGCGTTGTAACAATGAGTTCAAGATTAAAGACACTAATTAGGACATATTGATTTAGAACAGAAAATCGCGCAAAGTGTAGGATTTATTAATGACAATAAAACTTAATTCGACGTTGAAAATACGTTTAAAATGATAATCTCACTGTCGTGCTAGCGTAAAAATATTATATCGCGGCATGAGCTAGTAAAGAAATATAGTCAACAAAATATAATCGGACAAAACGAAACGAATGAAATTTGTCGCTTCGTACGAAACAGAGTCGAGTAATCTCTGATTTCATTCGGATATGCGCTTTAACACTTTACAACTCGTCAAATTTTGTTCTCTCATTTCAAAGTTAATGAACAATTTTTCTCAATTTTCTATATCGCTATCAGGGAAAATAATTAACCAATTTACGGAATACAAAAGAATGTGGAGATTGGGCTCTCCCGGGAAATTTTCGATTTTTCATAAAATTGCTGCGAAATTGATGCCCGGCATTCTGAACATTATCGACATTCTCATCCGTATTGCAAAAAAGATTGCAAAAAAACGATATATTGCCTCGATATCACTCGATAAAACTGTAATATAATCGGAATAAATGCAATTAACATTTCCAGCGGCACGCATAAATTAATCGTTCGACCTCGCGTAATTGTTCAACACGAGCGATTTCAAACGCTTCATTTGCCCGAACGCGTTATTATTTCTATCGGTTTCTCGACACAGTTTGGAAACTCTCCATTTATCGTCAACTTGTCGTACGTACAAGTTTAATATAATCCAACAATACGAACTTAATTCGACAACGTGACGATTATATTAATCGAGTTCCATTTAAGTTACGATTATAAACAGTAAAAGACGTGCTTATAGGATTCCCAGATACTTCAATGGAGTTAATTATAATTTCATGCATACGGGAACTCAAATGGCGAGGCAAGAGCTCAGAGTCTGAAAAGGCGTGTAAGGAGGCGTCCGGAGAAGAAAGTCTAAAGGATTAGGCTCGTCTTTTAAACGTAAAGCGGCCCCTTTGACGGACTTTTTCGGCTTTCAGCCGAAAAGAGGAGTCAGATCCTCACGCTCCGATCCTCGGAGGGCGGGTGAGTGTTACCCACCGAGAAAATCCGCCGAGGTGAACGCCAAGTGATGCAGCTGCTGTTGCAACGGATGCATCGTCGCGGTGGTGCGGCCGGCGACCGAATCGATCGTCTCCGGCGTCTGGATCACGGATGCGGCGACGGTGGTGGTGCTCGTGGGTGCGACGACGTTGCCGATCGGCCTCGGCGCCAGGATGCTGTCGATGGTGAAGAGCGAGGTGGGGGACGACATGGCGGAGGCGGAGGTGCCGGTCGCGGATCGCGAGGGAACGACCGGCTCGCGAGCGCCGTGATGACGGTGATGCCGCGTCGGCATCGTCTCCTCCGTGCCGATCGGACTCCTGGCGAACGTGCGCTCGTGCGCGGCATCGGCGCCCATCTCGTTCTGATTGTTGCGCCTCGTCACCACCGATATGTGGTTCTGCGCGTCCGGCGAGTAGCTGTACAGATAGCTGTGCCCGTAGCCGGATACACCGGGACCATCCGAGTGGAGCGGGCTCGACGGCTCCGTCATGGGCGAGCGTGATCTCGGCGAGTCGCTCGCATAAGTGCTCTCTACCATGTTACGTAACGCGGGAGTACGAGCCCGCGGATGTACAGATGGTATCGGCGTTGCTGGTACTCTCGGAAGAGAGATCTGCGAGATCTGCGCGTCGAGCGAGTCTCCGGACCCCCAGGAACTGTCAAGACGAAGGATACGGGCTCGTTCTCGCTCCTCGTCCACCGGCGACGTTACGTTCTCGCTCGCATCGTAGGTATCCGGAGATATCCGGTGCGAATCGCGTTCCTCGACTTCTCTCGCGAATTTACGAACCACCGACGACGGGATCTTTTTTCTTTCTTTCTTTCTTTCTTTCCTTTACAGCCCGATGGGATGAATCCGCGCGATCTCGTCCCGTAGGGATAGGAGGCTCCCGCCTCGCAGACGATCGCTCACCGACGTCGAGTCATCGGCGCTCAACATCGAGACGGAAGAGACGGGACGAGTCGGGTCGCGAGATGGGAAAGGCGTGCGAATCCGAATCCGATCTCTCTCCTCCACGGGGAGATCCGTGCTCGAGATCTATCTTCCCCCCCGCTCGCCGTTGGTGTCCGCACTTTATCCACTTCGGACCGGGTCGGCGTCGGCGTCGGCGTCGGTCGCAGGCAGGGGCGCCTACCGTCGCGCGTCGCGGACACGAAGTGACATCTCCCCGATAAAGGACATACGTGGACTAGCCATAACGGTGGCCGCCGCGATGCCGCGATGCCGCGATGCCGCGTGGACACGGTGCGCGTAACCTTCCTACCCTACCCGTGCCGTACCTCGCGCGCACAACCGACAAAGCCACCCCCGTGGGTTCCCGTGAGCCGCGCCAGCCGCGTCGGTGGCGGACAGAGAGACACCCTCGGGTGCCACATCGGGTTGGCGTGCGTTGTCCGCGATCGGGGCGTGGTCTTATCTGGCTCCGACCACTTTTCCACCACCCCGGGTCGCACCCGGCTCTCTCACCGTGCGATACCTCTCTCGCCATCCCCTTCCCATTCACGTTACGAAACGCGGTCGCGAGGGAGGGCGAGGCAGGACGGAGCGGAGGGCCGAGGACGACGACAACGAGGTTCAGCTCTCGCGCGGAGGGTGCGATCGCGTAGCGTCGCGACGTTCACGGGTGGGGGGAATCGCACCCCTTTCGGACGCCGCGCCGCGGCAACAGACACTACGCGAGGCAAACGCGCGCCTGTGTCGCGAGAGCCGAGAGGGTGGTCGCGAAATAACCCTCTGATATGGGAAGAGAAAGAGAGAAGGAATGAGAGAAAGCGTCGCGGAAGCGAACGACATATTTGTCGATGCATATTACGAAGGTTACCGAACCCCTCTCACTCTCTCTCCTCTCGACGCCGTCGCTCGACCGAATGCGATCGAATCGAAGAGCTTATTTTTGCAAATTGTCTTAAATCTGCTACTTACTAATACTTTCCGATAATGGAGACGTGTCAGAAACTATTCCGATGACTTCAGCACCTAATCTCCATTTATAAAACAAATATGTATTTAAATATACACGATATTTTTTGAAAGACCCCCTCTTTTGCAATTGTAATTCGACTTTAGAATCATTTGTCAATATTTGTTTTATTAATCACTGATATTATATGCTGCTCGTTTAAGAAACAGCATCGCACGAAAGAAGATTATCTAAGTCTGACTTTTTGCTCTCAACATGAAAATAACGTGTTGAAAATCCTAGTTTCTAATTCTAATTATAACAGAGTGCGTCACGACTTAAAATTTTATGAGATACTTTCTGTAAAGCACTCCCATTACTGTAAAGCTAATACAAGTAATAAAGTCATTGAGGAGGATTGTTACAAATGACTCGTGCGATCTTCCAATCTTTTATATTTTTTTCTTTTTTGCAACTCGCAGATATCAAATAAAAATTTTATTAAAAAGGGAAAGAATCGGAAGCATGTATCAGTAAAAGATTTGTCATTGTTTTGTCAAACAAAGTTTGAAACAGAATTTTAGCGAAATCGAAGCAAGTTTATCATTGGGTTTCAATATACTCACTTTTTTCCATTTCAGAGAGATATTTTTCAATTCCTGTTCCAAAAAAACTGTGATTTTTTTACTTGGTTTAAAAGCTTGATCTTTTACATATTCGTTATCTATTTTTATTCCCTTCAAGTCTCATTTGCAAAGAGTTCTGCTTTTTCATAACTACTCGAAAAGGCGTATAGATATTTTTGTCAAATTTTTTTGGAAATTCAGCAGGAAACGTATCGTCAGAGAATTAAGATCGCAGCCGAAAAATTATACGTTTACGTACTAATATTAATTATTAATTATAATTTCATTGATCGTACGATTATGACAAAATACTTTTCTGTCAGGCATTCAGTTATTATCATCCCTTTGAATACGTACCGCTCTTCCTAACGCGCAGCTTGTATTCAGAGAATCAATAACTGCTAATCTTAGGTGAGATTAGACATTTGCGAGCAGTAATCTTAAATAATCGAATCGATCTGTCGACGTTATGGGATCAAATAGCGATCGCAAACGCCAATACGAACGCGATGAACCCCACGCGAAAACTCAGGCGTCGGTAGATCTGGATTATGGCGGTTGCGCGTTGCCAAAGAGGGACAGAGACACAAAGAGAGAGAGAGAGAGAGAGAGAGAGAGAGAGAGAGAGAGAGGGGAGAAAGAGAGAGGACCATATCTACCTATCTAGCGAATCCGTGCGGATCCATTCAATTATTCAAATCCCAGCCAATGCATCCGTATTAATAACATAAAACCGTTGTAATGTGCATTGACTGTCATCCCCTCCCTCTCCCCTCCCTCTCCTTCAGCGAGCGAGGGGGGTACAAGGGGGTATC